AATCTACTTTAGACCCGCCCTAATGCCGTATTTAATTCACTGCGGTTCTTATTTTGATTAATTTGCGAAAATATATATTTTTGCGTACCTTTCTTTATAGATACTGTCGGATTTCGAAAAGAAATTTAGTGCAACATCTGCACCCGAAAACAACGATGCGGAAATCGCAAATAAATCAACGTCTCAGTGGCCTTCTATAGCCGAAAAAATAATACGAGTTGCTAAGCGAAAGTGCGGTTGGTTATTAGACCCTGCAGGTCTTGAAGTAGAGAACGATTTAACGTTGCCCGACTACACTAAAATAAAAGATATCTTGGACAAAAATAAAAACTGTAATAACGACGGTGAGTTACACTACACGTTTTTTCTTTCTTCGTAATTTATATACAATAATATATAATGAAACAAAAATAAAACCACTTTCATATCTATAGATCATAAAAGTGCATTGGGATTTCTGTTACTACCCAATTTAATTAACTACACTGTTAAGAGTAAATGCATTAACAATAAATGGAAGCCTACAAAATTCGATACCATTAATGCATTTATTTGACACGTAAACGTAAGTAATAAATAATATAATGATTCTAATTTTGAATGTGCATTATAACAATTGGTTTACTCAAATTTTTGAAAATATTTGAAAAAAATAGCTTCTTTTAAACGAATTATAGACAATACCTTTTACATAGACAAAATAGCTTCAATTTCATGCCTGCATATACTAAATGTATTTCATAGTCACTCGTCTTAGTACATTAATAAATATTCAAAAGGATTTCTAAAGTGCATCTTATTTAATTTTCAATATAAATAAAATTATTTTTTAGGATCACATTGAGAGTCATCGAGTTATACACGAAGTTGATGCTAGATACGGCGAATACGAATTAAAAGAACAACCGTACGTAATTATTTGTGGACCATCACTGGATCAAATACAATGCTGCCACGTCGTGTATGACTCAATTGTGTATAATTTCGAAAAAGTGGTGGAATCTGTTGATTTCTTGTATAAACTTTTTTTTGTTTTAAATGTAGACTTTCCAGTTGCTTCTGGATATATTTGGTGCTTTATACAAAAATTTATTTTTGGTATGGAGAAGTGGAGAAGAATTATAGCATCGCGTCAAATTAAAGAGTTAATTGTTGAATTAGGGAAATAAAAAATAAGTCATTTATTACATTTATGTAACTATAGTAACTATATGTGTAACTATATGTAACTATACATATAACTATAATTTATTTATTTTATTTAAATTATTTAAATTTAATTGATTGTATAGCAAATATGGACGTAAATGAAAATGTACTACGTGTAACTTGCGAGCTGTACAATAATCTGAATATGACAAGAAGTCAAATTCAGTCAGTTATATGTATTATGCAAACATTCATTAAAGATACGTATAATCCATTTTTACTGAAAATGTTAAATGTATCTTTACAAAATGTACTCGAAGATGAAGTTAATCAGGAAATTACAAAAATATTCGATAAATATCGAGATCCGTTTAAATCTTATAGTACGGAAAAGAAAAGAATTACTTTGTATAAAAGTGCAGGCCTGTACGTTGAACCTGAAAAAATTATAATTAACGCGGAACTTGTCTCTAAGTCACGCGGAAACAAATTGTTAATACAAGAAAAGACTAATTCTATAATTCATATACCGCTTAAAAAATCGTTAAAAAGTTTATTGCAATTAAATGGACTGTTTGATGCCACTTTATCATACGTAAATTTCTTAAAGGATGAAACAAATGTCATAAGTAACTTCACACAAAGTGAGTTATGGAAAAGACAGCTGCGTAACTTTAAAAAAATAGGTATTGCATTACCTCTAATTGTATATTTTGATGATGTAGAAACAGGTAACGCATTATGATCCCATGCTGGAAAAAATCAAATCGGTGCCGTGTATGCCACAATTCCTTGCCTACCGCCTAATTACGCATCAAAACTAGATAGTATAATTTTTTGCAGTGCGTTTTATTCCAAAGATCGAAAACGTTTTGGGACTAAAATAGTTTTTAAACCATTAATTGCAGATTTACAGGCCTTATACGAAAATGGCATAGAAATAGATATTCAAACAAAAAAATACAAAGTTCACCTTATAACCAGTTTAATAGTAGGAGACAACCTTGGTATAAATAGTATATTCGGTTTTGTAGAATCATTCTCTTCGAATGTGTTTTGTCGCATTTGCTACGCTACATCATCAACTACGAAAACGTTATGCAAAGAAAATAATTCATTAATGCGAACCGTAGAGAAATATAAAGGAGATGTAGAAGACATTAATTCGTTTAACACTGGAATTAAGGACACTTGCATTTTCAACGAATTGAATAATTTTCACATAATCGAAAATGCAAGTGTGGACATCATGCACGACTTGTTTGAAGGGGTTTGCAATTACGTAATGACCAACATTTTATTGACATTAATCAACACAAACAAATGTTTTTCTCTTGATTACTTGAATTATCAATTAAAAACCGTCAATTTTGGTTTTGAAACAGCTAATATGCCACTTAAAATTAATATGGATTATTTGAAAAAAAATCATAAACTTAAAATGTCAGCTTCCGAAAGTTTGTTTTTTACTCGATATTTTGGCATCTTAGCAGGGGAAAAAGTTCCACATGATAATGAAAGTTGGAACATTTATAAAAAACTCCGTGAAATTATTCACATTACTACATCTCCTACTATTACGAAATCCCATTTACTTCAACTAGAAATGTTAATAATCGAGCATCACGAATTATATATTAAACACTTTGGCGGATTAAAACCCAAATTTCATTTTCTGACTCATTATTGTACAGTTATGACAAAGATCGGTCCCATTATTAATCTTTCGGCAATGCGATTTGAGTCAAAACATCGAGAATTAAAAACCATTTTGCAAGCTTCTTCTTCTCATAGAAACATTTTGCAGAGTATAGGAGTTCAGATATGAACTAAGCCGTATACATCTCAGATTCACTAAATATGAAAAGACGTACATGACATGTGGCTCAAAAATAAATGACGAATCAGTTCATATTAACTTCCCTCTTCCAAAATGAAAAAAACATTAAGCTCTGTAACAATAAACAATATAATTTATATGCCCGGAACAATAATTGTTGCTAATATTCTTGACAGTGGTCCGGAATATGGGAAAATTAATAACATATATATTGTAGATGATAATATTTATTTTCAATATACTCCTTTCAAACTCATTGGCTTTAATTCCCATTACTTCGGTCACAGTGTCATACTAGACTCACAAAATGGAAGAATAATAAATTATTCAACATTAGTAATAAAATCACCATGTTTCTTATATGAAAAGGATAATACGCAATTAATTGTAAGTAGACATATAGTGTAAAATTATATAAAAAAACATGTACTTATATTTTGTTTGATGATTTGCTTAAGGGGACTGCGTATATATATTGACTGTTGATTTTATAAAATAAATAATTAA